TAACCTTTGATATAACCTAACCGTATGTTATTTTGGCACGAAAATTAGGATACATAACGTATCAGTACGTCACGTACGTATGATACGTATGTGGCGTATTGACTAAAAGCCGTGACGATTTTTACGTCCGTAGTTTTTACACGGAAAATGCAGAATCACATGTACGTTACTTACCCACACGTTATGTTATACGTGACGTATTGACGCAAAACACGTGACGCATTGACCCCAAAACGTGACGCTTTTAGCGTCCGTACATGTATTTTTGACACAAAAATGATGGCATAGTATGTTTGTTGAATAAACGTTACATTTCCTTTAGCTTTCCGGAATATATCAGCTAACTTCACTTAAAACACTCGTAAGGTATGATTGAACACGTATGTTTGTTGACTAACCGCTACGTTTCATAGAGCTTTGGGGAACATATAAGCTAACTTCACTTAAAATATGTGTATGGTAAGATTAAACACGTCGTATGTGTGTTGACTAACCGCTACGTTTCATATACGAGGGGTGTTCAAAAAGTTCTCAGCCTCACTTAGAAAACGTCAGGGCAGTAAAATTTTTCTTACGCTATTTTTTAATACAGTCCTCTCTAACTGCAATGCACTTGGTCCAGTGATGTTCCAGCTTTGTTTTCCCCTTGTGGAAGAAGGTTGCATCTGGGACCCCCAGATAGGGCTCAACCGCACTGATGACGTCATCATTACCATCAAAACGTTGACCACGTAGGTGGAACTTGAGTTTAGGAAACAGGTAGACGTCCAAGAGTGCTAGGTCGGGTGAATTGGAAGGGTAGGGTTAGACTGCAGACCCTAATTCGTTTGCTGCTGTCGCTGACCCCTGTGTTGTGTGGACAGGTGCATTGTTAGCACGCCAGCTCGGTGCCTTCCTCTCCTTTCTCTTGATCGTTGTCCTCAAATGTCGTTATTCTGTCGAATAGTACTGCACATTGATGCTTTAACCCCTTCGCATGTAGTCAATTATGATTACTTCCTTACTGTCCCAGAAAACAGAGGCAAAAACCCTGCCAACGGACAAAACTCGCTAAAACTTCTTGGGGGGTCGGGAAAAATTCTTCATCCATGGTTTGCTCTGCTGTTTTGATTCGGGGTGAAAGTGGTGAACCCAGCTCATCTTGGGTTACAAATGTTTTGTAAAAAAAATTTTGTGATTTTGTCCTCACCCGCCCCATTTTCACGTGCTAATTAATGAATATAAAAATTTGACTTTTTATGTGCAGTGATGATAGACGTCTTAGTATACAGCTATATCGAAGAATAGGAGTTTGACCTTTATTTTCTAGGTGAGGCCGAGAACTTTTGAACACCCCTCGTAGCTTTGGGGAAGATATAAGCTAACGTCACTTAGAATTCGCGTATGGAATAATTAAACACGTTATGTTTGTTGAATAAATGTTACATTTCTTTTAGTTTTCGAGATATATATAAGCCAACGTCACTTAAAATGCGCGTATGGAATAATTAAACATGTCGTATGTTTGTTGAATAAACGTTACATTTCATATAGCTTTTTGGGAACCTATAATCCAACGTCACTTAAAATACGCGTAAGTAAAGATTAAACACGCCGTATTGTTGTTGAATACACGCTATATTTCATATAGCTTCCGGGAACATATAAGCGAAAGGGGGGAGGTTCTCCTCCCGCTCGCTTAAAGTGTGCGTAGAGAAAGATTAAACGTTAACGCGTCGTATATTTGTTGAATAAACGCTACCTTTTATATTATATAACTTTTGGGAACATATAAGCTAAAGGGGAGAGGTACCTCCCCGTTCGAATTCACTTAGATACCTGAAGGGAAAGATATAACTTAGCGTATATTTGCTGAAAAAAAAACGCTACATCACCTATCGGCTTTTTGAAACGTATCAGTTGGGAAAGATTAAACACGTCGTATTGTCGCTGTATTGTTGTTGAATAAACGCTACCTTTCATATTTTCGGGAGCATATAAGCTAAAAGGGGGAGGTTCTCCCCCGTTCGCTTAAAGTGTGCGGAGAGAAAGATTAACGCGTCGTATATTTGTTGAATAAACGCTGCCTTTCATATAACATATAAGCTAAAGGGGGAAGGTCTGCCCACCGATCACTGAAAATGTGCGGAGAGGAAGATTAAACACGTCATATGTTTGTTGGTAAGCCGTAAAAACACAACGCGATTTTTTTTTTATATTTGCGTGCACCAATGTCTGCTACAATTCATATCAGGCGTTGAAAGGAAACAGAGTTCTATGCACATGCTGTCGATGATTTATGAGGCGTCTTTTCCGTTTTGCTTTAAATTTTGCGTAGAAAAAGATTAAACATATACCTGATTGACTTACTCATGTTTCAAATTTGACTTAAGTGTTGAAACAGAAGTACGAAACATTTCCTGTACCTTTCTGGGACATATAAGTTTAACGTGTTTGTCGGATATGAATACTTCAGTATCTGTAAACCGTGCGTAAAGAAACATGCCGTAATACGTTACATTTACAACTGCGAAAATCCTTCGTAAAGATTAGATTTCTTTTTCAGTAGACTTTAATCGATCTTAAAGTCTGCTTAAATATTTCCCTTTCTTTAAAGTCTCAATATGGATGTCGTAATTTTTGCTTAAATATCTGTTTTCGTGCTGTGAATGGAACAGATACAGATAAAGGGACAACCCCAACTATACCCTCCCCCCGAACATCTGCTTGGAGACTTCGTAAACAGTAAGGTCCGACCGACGCAATCTCCAAGCAGATACAGGGACCGAATGTTTCTAGTAATTCTGTGTAAAAAATCATCTGAAGATCAAACAATGGAACAGATACAGAGAAAGGGACAACCCCAACTATACCCTCCCCCTGAACATCTGCTTGGAGACCTCGTAAACAGTAAGATAGATCCGACCGACACAATCTCCAAGCAGATACATGGAACAGATTTTCTAGTAATTCTGTGTAAAAAAATCATCTGAAGATCAAGCAATGGAACAGATAGAGAGAAAGGGACAACCCCAACTATACCCTCCCCCTGAACATCTGCTTGGAGACCTCGTAAACAGTAAGATCCGACCGACACAATCTCCAAGCAGATACATGGAACGGATTTTCTTGTAATTCTTTGTAAAAATCATCTGAAGATCAAACAATGGAGCCATATTATATTCCAACGTTATCTCAACGGGCGCGACCTACTCATAGTAATTGTTATCCTTTACCCAGACTAACCAGAGTATCTACTAGGGGATGTGTATATGACGATATTTGTTACCGACAGTTTAGAAATTATTTGTGTCTGTACGTGGCGTTCCGAGCGGAGCATTGACTGTGTTGTACCGAAGTAGGCCGTGCAAAGTAACGGTCTCCGCTCTCGGCCACGATCGTATAATAGTTTGTATACCTATATTTTCGTCATGTATCCAGGGAAAACACCAATAATTCGGGGTATAGAATTTTCTTCTTACACAACCAGTAAGGTTCTCACCTGCTTACGTTTCGATGTCTATCAGACACCTTCCTCAGAGCTTCTGACTGGAGTTCTGCAACTCGCCGCTATTTAACGCCAATGTAGGTGGCGCTTTTGCGGCGAGAATGCAATCCCAAACGTGGCTGAGCTTGTATCCCCCCTCGTCCCGGTTCATCACTGGGGTTGCTTGATATTGAAATATTATCCGGGAAACCTCTCAGTAAGTGTCGCCAGAGGACACGGGCACTGAGACGGCGTTGCCGGTTACTACACGGTGTCCAGACCCGACATTCACCGTACGGGTCGGGGTATCGCTTGTCGGTGCATGGATGCTGCCCGTCAATTATACACTATTATAGAATGCCATACTTGTTGCTCTGAATGTGTGGGGGACAATGGGCCTTAGATATTGAAGTATTACGCAGCGGAGCTCTCCGCGATGTGAACACCACGAAGGTTTACGTCAGACTGAGCTCCGGTTGTTTACGTTACGCCTTTTATCGGGCCAGGTCACCGTTAGTTATATAGTGCAATCTAACATAATAAACAGAAGAGACATTTCTTGTCTGGCGAGATATGCAACCTTTTATTCTGTTGTATCACAAACCATAGTATCAACACGGTCGAGGCATGATGTAGGATAGAGATTGTCTCAAATATATTAACATGTGTCTCATGTCAAAAACCCGGCCAAAACACGCCTAACTACGTGAAAGAAACCAAGACCACGTGCGTGTGCGAACGAAAAGGGGAAACCAGCCAATCGGGCACAAATTGTGTCGGAATGAGAAAGGAAAGGGCTCACAAGCGACAAGCGAACATGTTTTAAATGTGCTTCAGCTGGCGGTTTAAAGCCCCGCGGACACTCTTGTAATACTGGAGGTTTCCCAGATCGGACAAGTGTAGGCCGGCAGGCGCAAAGTAGTTTGGGTTGCGTCTCCACAGACGTCTGTGGTTCCATACTGTGACCTTGGGGTAGTTCTGCACAAGTCCCTTCAGCGCCTCCGTGAATTTGTGAAGGCGCTGAGGAAAGTCAGACATGTTAGGTGGAATATGGAGACGCCAGATATCTGGGGAACCTTGCTTGGAGGAGCGCCCGGTCTGCTTTCTGGTGGAGACCCACTAAGTGTACACGTAGCGTGTCTGTCATATATGGCAATACCTATTAAAAATTTCATCCTTATTTGGTAATACTTGCGTCAGATACCATTCTTTCCTAAATAATCAAACATAAATCCATACGAATGTGAGTTACAGCTCAGGGTTCACATTTCATTCGTTGATGCATGCATCATATTAGCACCCTCAAAAACAAACGATACAACTTCCTACATACAATACGGTGTTAAAATCACACACATTTTAACATACTAGTAGTACTAAAACAACAATCAGTTATAAGAAAAATTCCTTTTACTCAAGTTATATCAAAAGGGTTACAAATTTATACTATTATATTATTAAGATACTCACGTCGCCGGTGTGTTTTTTTAACACCGCCCTTGTTTTTTCTTTTCCTTCGTGTGTTGTTCTCCAGATGGATGGTTAACCGGGAACACATCGTGGATTGTGGATGCCTCCGGTAACGATGCCACGAGAGCGTTAGACGGTGACGCCGGGTCCTTTTGGAACCCCCCGGGCCCCCCGGGGATCAGCCAGGACTGGTACATGGTACTGGACCTCGGCCAGCCGTACAATCTGACCCGTCTCGCAGTCAACTCGTACGGTGACACCACGCACGACGTCGCAGCCTTCAAGTTGCAGAAGGCTCAGGTTTGTGGCGCAGGATAGCGTAGTGGTAGATCGTTTGACTATGAAGCGGGGAGACCCGGGTTCGGTTCCGAGTGGAACTCGGGACATGTCAGGACATCCGCCCCGCTGTGCCCTTGGGAAAGGCACTTTGCACAACTTTCCTCACTCCACCTTGTGGCGCCGAATGGCAGCCACACAGACCCTTGCGACAGTTTCACCAAAAAAATTGTGGAGCAAATATGTGTATGTTGTGTATTATTTGATTGTTGTGATTTGTATTGATTATTATGTGATACTCTGCATCAACTCAACCGTATAGAGGCTACGACTGCACAGGGTATTGTTTGGACAGTAAAAAAAAACATTTTTTAAATTTTTTTAAATTTTTATTTTTTAATTTTTTTAGGTCTGGATTCCGTACACCTGGGAGGACGTGGCGACCGTGAGGTACGTGCAGGGAGGGACGAACCAGCGGCAGGAGTTCGGCGGGTTCCAGGGAACAGCGCGGTACTGGAAGTTCACCATCATGCGGACCCACTCCATCTATCAGCCTTGGTTCGGAGAACTGAACCTGTACGGGACCCCATCGTTGGGTGAGTTTGAATATCGCGTTTGTTAGACTAACTTAGCAATAAGGAAAGAGGGTAGACAACATCGAATACCTTCCTAAAATAATTCCATCATTATTAAGCAAGACTAGTGTAAACTGCAATTTCCAACAAAACAAATTGGACTCACCCAAATTTTTGACTCACGGAAGCAGTGGATTGCTCATTCCTTGACAAAGACTGGAGTTATATAGTCGAAAAATTGGGTGAGTCCAATTTGCTTTGTTGGCAATTGCAGTTTAAACTTGCTTCATAATGATTTCTACCAACACAGATGAACTTTTAAGATAATTTCATCATGTTGGTACTGTGTTGGTACATAGGACATTGGGATTTTCTTATACACTTCCTATATGCTATATTCTTACTAACTTGCTTACGTTTCGATGTCTATCAGACACCTTCCTCAAAGCTTATGACAGGAGAACACAATCTAAAACGTGGCAAAACTTACATGTAGGTGTCTGATAGACATCGTAAGAAAAGTAGGAAGAATACCTTGTTTTGAATAAGAAAACCCCAATACCCAACGATCGAATACCTTTTGAAACTAGAGTTCCAGGATTTCATACCTTCTCCAGATCGGGTTAACATCTACGACTGACTACTTGTAAACGTTTCTGATTGCATTGTTAGGGTAAACGAGGTACTTTAAGATAACCAATGACAGTCTTATCTTAACAGAGGACTCCGAAGCTGTTCTCGCATTCCTCATAAATCGTGCAAATTAGGCCCTCATCTGAATAAGTTATATCTAATGATGTTAACCTTCACTCGAGTTATTTCCTCCCAAAAAAGACGATTCTTGTAACACCACTTGTCCCGCCTTCCATTCTAGGTTAGTATAAATTCATGTCGTTGGATATCAACATAGAAATAGTCGTTGTAGTACTATTGATAGTGATGAGTTAAATTAACATACATTCTTCTGTGTTTGTAGCAACTGGTAGTATGTACGATCACGCTGATGTACAAGGTTGGTGCATTTAATTCATTATATACCATACAAAAATCACTTTCGCACATTAAACAAAACAAGGATATTGTCAAGGTCTAACCACGATATCGTAGTACATGTATGATTCAGCTATCATCATGGCTAACTTTGACACGGAATGATTTCAAATATTACATGAGTAGAAAAGTATAATGTTCAGTCTACATATTGTCATGTACCAACAACGATGTGTTACTTTCTTGTACTTGTATCAAATGTTCCTTTGTATCTGCAATTAGCCCACGTGCATGAGTTTGCAACAATTATTACTAATTCTCTTAATTGAAATGGTTTATCTTCTATTTGTTCATTTTAGTCAATTATGATATTTCCACCCAAAGTTATGATTGTCTTGTAGAATTCTTGGTGTAATTACGTGGATAATTTATGCTATACTCTCCACATTTTTGCACTTCCTATACTTTATTGATTTTAAAACGTTTGATACAGCAACTCCACTGGCGTAATTAAATCGAACCTTGTATCCTCAGCCTGTGAGTACGTCAGAACGACCGGAGATACCAAATTGTACCAGTGGGACCTCCCACTTCCCAAGTCCTCACCTCTGACCTTTAGAACCAATGCCAGTAATGATGTTTTCATCGCCCTGTCGCTGGAACCATCCGATCAAGTCGACATGTACGAGATTCTCATCGGCGGTCGGTACAACGTAGGGTCTGTCATTCGGCGTACAGCTGAGGGCCCCAACGAAGTAAATGTCTCTACACCAGGTACTCCTAATTTTTATTTATTTTTTGTCGACGCCTCAGGGGCGGAGGTATTTTTCACAGTATATTACGATCAATCTGAAAGAATTTAGAAAATTTTACGAATGCATTCCCTGGGGAATTGGTTTTGAGGTAGCTTCCGGCCGTGTGGTCTTTGCACAAGCAGGAGATGCCTTTGATGCACATGAAAATCATCATTTCGGGTTGTGAATGTTTGTACACAGGTCCAGGACGTATTTTTTTGTCTCAAAAATATGTTTTAAGAGCAAACAATACAGAACTTATTTCGTTGCCAATAAGAAAGATCTAGAAACAATGTATTCAAGAACAAAGTTTTAAGGGTTTTCTTTCGTTTCAACAACTAATATCTAATATCATATATCATATTTTGAATCTTGCAAATTTAACATTTAAACTTCTAACTCAGATGGAAAAGATTAACCTGCCCATTGGTATTCGTGTCAAATTGTACAAAGCAGGAAAGGCCTAGACTGGGCAGTCTTCAAACAAAGGGACAAGACCCACAAGTCTGTGTTTTTTAAGGAAATTAGTATGTTTGATGGACCGTCGAAACACACAAATGAAGCTTTAAAAAGAACAGAAAACCGAGAAGGTTGGAGAAAACTGTTTTTCAGATCTTTTGCTGTGCTTCAATGGTCAAATATGTACAAAAGATATTAGATGGGATGAGATGAGAAGAGATGCGAAGAGAATGGATGATTTCTGTTTTGTGGGGATGTGATTGGTTTACGTGTGTTATGTTTGTCACGTTTTCACTTCTTTTTGTTGGTTTTATTTTCCTTGATACGAGAAACGATCCCACACATGCCGACATCAGCAAAGTACAAGGGAAAAGGAAATATAATACAGACAGGAGTGTTGAATGGAAAGGGGAGTAGAGGAATCCATTTTAACAATTAATGTAAGGTAGATATGATGGCTCGGCAATAGAATAAGCCATACTATAAGGTGAAATAAATAGTACGGAGGTAGAATGAGTCATCCGCTGGTCTTTAGTGTGGCAAATGTCGTTTGGCCACGCCATTAGTAGTTTGGGGGCTCAGTTCGGTCATAAAGTGAATAATCCTGCAAAATCGAAACTTAGCCAAAAAACGAGACTGCAGAAGTAAATAAGATGAATTGAACATACAAGGAGAGTAGTCTAAACAGGCAGACATATAAACTCAGAGTTAAAAGAACAAGAACAGTCAAGTCAGCTGGCGTTTAATCCTTCACAATATCATAATAACAGGATTATAAAAACTTTTAAAGTATTTTATTTCAGTATAGCCTGGCAGTCAGTCCATTGTAGACTGCCCGGTATCTGTAAGGTGTATGGAGTACCGGCCGCCTGCCCAAATAAATTAGTGCAGGTCAGGGTATTTACGGGGCTGATTTAGTTTGTCCAAAGGACTGAGAAAGGCCAACTGGAAAGATCTATAGCTAGCATATCAGACGAGGTCTATGTCTAGTATGGCTGGGGCCTGTAAAACACCCCTAAGCCACAAACTTCTATCTGTTAGAACGCCGTGGTTAGAATTGCTTTGTAGGTGGAACGTGTGTCAGAACTAGCATGACCTACTTCGGACACTATTTAAGCTAAGGGATAAAATCTCCGACCTAATGACAAGCAGTGACTATCAGACAAATATAAGGGAAGGTACACAAAATGTTTTAAGTCAAATAATGGGTAATGGATAACGATATTGTTTATCATTTGGAAAGATCGGTCGAGTAACTATCAGAGGTTTTGGCACTTAAGCTAAAATACTAATAGTAGGTCATTGTAATGTTGTCGGCTGAGCCGTTTGTTTGCTACAATTGGCCGACTTGGGTACATGTAAAACTTACAAGTTCTCGATAATTATAGGGTGCATTCATTTAAAAGAAAGCAGTAGAGTAACAATAAATGTTTGAACATCGATATTTGGTACCTATCCTGTCTTTACAGACAATCCGCAATGGCTAGACGTTTTTTACACAATGAAAGGAACAGGGCAGACTGTTTATGACGCCTGGAGTACTATTGGACAAGTCACCCACTACAAGTGCCCAGTTGTAGACCAATGGGAATCGCTTAACATCCAACGGGTAAGTTTGTGGTAATTACTGTGTTTTGTTTTGTCACATGTCCATACGTTTAATTTTCCATCAGCTGAATATGTTGTATTAGTACACAACCATTAAAAAATAATTAGCATTTTTGACAAACAGAATTGGATTCAAGCAGCTAAATCTGTTCTCAATAAGTAGAACTGCAGATAACTAAAGAATGAGGGGCGATTTTTTTAGCGGCACAGAAAGTAAAATTGTCTTTTGCAGGTGAAGGTTGTGTTGGAGTCCTCCGAAGGAAATGTAGAGCTGATTTTTAATGGGACAAACACTGACAAGTTCAACTGGTTCTCCAAGTCTCGTCTGCTCTCATCTCCTTGGAACGACGTCAACACCGAGACTCAAAACGTCTTCTCGATCGAAGGAGTCCCAAATGAGAAAAGGTAAATCTTGAGCCTTTGAAATGTGATAAACTTCGTATTAAGGCTTTTCTATCATTTGCATGTAATTACAAGAATTGCAGCAAATCTTTATGACGTCCATGTAATAATTAAAACACGGCTTCCTTTCTTGCAGGTCTTTTTACATCAATCGCAACTGGGGTGGTTGCCTCCAAGACGCTGGTTGGCTTGTGGTGGCCGACGGCGGTCCACTCGTCCAATGCGAATGGGAGCGAGCTCCGGAGGATCAACTGCCTTACATCCGCTTTTCTAAAACTACAGGCTACGCTAACTACAACGGTGCGTGCAGTACTTATATACCCCTATATATTTCCCTTGCAAATGGGCCATGTCTTAGGCCGTGTTTAAGTGGAATCACCCACTAAGTGGTTTACCCCGAAGCCGGTTTCAAGTGGCT